TTACATGAGATTACAAATATATCACTTTTCTACTCTTTAGTATCTACAAATGCATGTTCTTAACTTATCCCTTTTCCCCTGTTGACCTAACAGACCAGTGTTCAACATAACAGTGGCAGTAAAACACAACTAAACAAACATGAGACACAAATAATGCACATAGTGCTGTAAACCTACAAAAAGAGACAGGATACAACATACAGTACAATGACATGCCTGTGTCACACACAGCAGTAACGTAAGATGAAGATAGTGCTGTTATAAGACATATTTTTGTAACATTTCCTTACGTACATTAAGCAACATCAAATTGCACATGAATGCTAATAATTTAGAAAACCAATGGAAAAATTAACTCTATTTATGCAAAATAATGGTATTTACCATTCACAGTAGTTGCATTTAATTATAAAGGGGACTTAAATAAAATAAAAAACTCATAAAATTCCCAAAAAGTGCAAAGCATGGACCAGTTATCATACCAAATAGCCAGTGTTTTCAACTCAACCTATTTTGTGTCAGAGTCTACTGTATGTATAAACCTCAAACAAACAACTTCAGCTTTCTTGCTACTCTCACTGAGTACTCAAATTAAAAGTAAGAGTGAGTCATGTGTGTGGGACAGTGGATGATTTCTGTGGTGTTGCATATTTACAGCATGTCTGTGCCTCACAATGACCCCGTTCTTGGAATGAACAGCCTGGTTATCGATTTCTATGAGGTAAGATTTGTTAACTGAGTGATTTTATTTTTAAATAATAATCAGTAGACGACCTGTTTGATGCTCAACTCGTAGTAGTGGCTGAATTTGCGCACTACGTTAATACTGAAGGCACGTGTTTAAATGTAAGGGAATATTCCTAACGCTTATAAATGTAACAGAGAAAGCGTCTTTTAGAAAGAAGCGACCTTTTCCTCTTTCTGGATATGACACGTTTTAAGATATTTTAGCTTTAGCACATAACAATTTATCTGCAATGTGGAGTCAATGAGTCAATAAATAAATAACTTTAGGGTCTCCATACAGGCATAAGCAGGGACAGTTAGCTTAAAAAAATCAGTGCTTACACATTAAACAACTCAACACAGTACCAAAACAGTTACAGTACAGTACTTCCTCCTGCTCCTGTCGGACCATTCTAACCTGTGACACACTTTCTGTCTCCAGGCCACTGTTAGACATACAGCAACTCCACACCTATCCTTTAAATCTTATTAACAATTTGTTGTTGTCTTTATTGTTTGATGTTATATATTATCATTATTTGAGTATTTTCAAAACTTTTCACTGTGCCTAAAAAAGTGTGCACAGGCCAACAGTGCAGAACTCAGCTATGTTAATTTTTACAGCCAGTTTAATGTATTCAAGTTGACGGTATAGCTTTTCCCTGGTCCTCCACCTTTTTAATCGCTGCCTGAATCTTCGCCTGGTCTCCCAAGAGCTGTCGAGGTTTCACAGGCTTGAGGTTTTCGTCCAGCTCAAGCAGCACGGGTATCCCCGTAGGCAAAGTCACATTGGCAATATCGTCGTCTGATATACCTGTTGAAATAAGGACAGTAATATTAAGATCACACTAGACAAACTAGCCACAACAAGGCTTGATAACCACGGATGCACCAATTCATATTTCCAAACGTCGCTATCTGTTGATATTTGCCTTGTCAACCATCATGGGCCCATAAAATGACATCTACCAATGGCAGTGGCTGATGTTTTTCTGTTGTGTCACCTGCTTAAAAGCAGGGAAAACATGTTCAGTATGAACAGAAATCTTCCCTGTATGTATATATCTTGTGTTGCATAATATTAAGTAACAGCCAATGTGTGTCCTGTGGCAAAATGAGCCTCCAAAGCTTACGAGTGTGATGAAAGGTCAGCGTGGATTGAATAGCCACAGCCAAATGTAACATAAACTCGCTGGCCTTTTTACACAAGTTCAACTTTCCATTTTAGGGACTGAAATATGTCTCTCCAAATTCAGTGACCAACGACTGGAAACAGCAGCCTGCAGAGTCCAGAAGCTGTTGCTGAATTCAACTGAATGTAATCACTGCACAAACACAAAGGCTGAGAGAGAGCACTGTTCATAATAGCTTTCAGTAACATACCTTCCAGGTGTTTCAGCAGAGCCCTTCAGCTGTTTCCATGAGCCGAAATGAGCACAGTCTTCCCTTTCCTTATCTCTGGCACCACAGTGCTGTCCCAGTATGGCAGCAGCCTGTCCAACACCTCCTTCAGACTCTCTGCTCGGGGAAGCTTCTCCATTGGCACGTCACAAGTGCTGTATCTGCGGTCATTGTAGATTTCCAGGAAGTAAGGGTGGGATTCATCAATAGGAGGCGGAGTGATGTCGTAGCTCCTTCTCCACAGCTTCACCTTTTCCTCTCCATGTTGTTGAGCCATCTCCGCCCGATTCAGGCCAATCAGGGAACCATAGTGACGCTCATTCAGTCTCCAGGACTTCACCACGGGGACCCACTCCTGACCCATAGCCTCCTGCACCAGCCATGCTGTCTGGATAGAGCGGCTAAGTATGGAAGTGAATACTAAGTCGAACTTGTAGCCCTGCTCTTTTAGGAGCCTGCCACAGTCCTGGGCCTCTTTCACCCCATTCGGGCTCAGCTTCTGGTCAACCCAGCTGCAGAAACGGTTCTCTTTATTCCAGGCCCCCTCCCCATGCCTCAGCAGAAAGAGTTTGTACTTGGACATCCGAAGCACCAGCAGCAGAAACCTGCACACATACAGCAGAAATTAACAGAAAAGTTATGCAGTTAGTGATAACAAAAGTGAAAATCTATTATTTTAATAAAGTTATCTCCAGCTAACAGTGTATAGCCTCATTTAGACACAGTTCTGTGTGTCTGATCTGGGTTCAGGGACAGGTAGGTTACTTCTCAGAGATAGTGCTAGCAAAAGGTCAGAGGTTGTCTTAAAAAAGTGACTGGCTAAAGGCACATAGCTTCAGCAGCTATCCATATTAACTGGCTTTACTAATAAGCAGGACACAAACGGTTACAGATAACTAACGTTAGTATTATGCAAATATTTCACTGGATGCTACTGCAAAGCAAACCCATGAGGATGGATGGATGGACATGTTGCTATGTTAGTGACCGTTAATACAGTGCGTATTATGGCCTCTCAGACCGACATACAGACAAAAGCGACATATAAAAACAAAACTACATGAGGCAACATTATCCCAAAATGAACAGAATATAGTGAAAATGTCGTCTTACCCCGTGTGGGTTTTAAATCCGGCCTAAATGTAGCTAGTACAGTCGTCAGTGTTGACAGTTTGTGGCCGGCCACGTACAGCAGTTGTTCCCGTGAACATCGATGATTGACAGTCTGGTCCTCCAATCAGAATGGCGTATATCGCAAGTGGGCGGTTCCTTTGTCAAATGTTATGCCCATATTAGGAGTGTTAGTAACGGCCGGGCACGTTCAACGCGGAGGGAGAAGGAGGGGGAAGACGGGGAGTGACCGTTGATGGATGTTATGGAGAGGTACTGTGTGTTAGCTAGCTAACTGTTGATGTTTTGTCCTGTGGGCTTTGTGATTTACAGTTTTGAGAGGATTTGTGGTGTTTATAAGAGAAGGGCGGCAGTTTAAGACAACTTTGTCCACAGGCAGAGACAAGGGACACTTAATGTAAGCTTTTGTTCCCGCCTGAAATGATGCAGGTGTGTGAGAAAACAGTGGGAAGAATATAAATATGATAAAGTGGCTAAAGAACAGAAGTCATTTTCTACTAGTTTGGGTAAAAACAACGTTTTTCACCTCAGCATAATTTAGGTAAAAGTGAATAGTGTTTGAATGTTAAGTTACATTGAAGTCAAGTTTTGTTTAACCTGCCTGAATACATTGGACTGCTGCACCATTTTATATACACACACTTGCCTTTGTCATTTAAGTTAAAAGTTTAGTGGTAAGGATTTAGGGGGATATATTGGCAGAAATGGACTATAATATAATTAGTAAGTTTTCTTTCATGTATAATCACCTGAAAGTGAGAATCATTGTGTTTTCATTACCTTAGAATGAGCCGTCTACACAGAGAGTAGGCCTTTAATCATGGAGTCCACCATATTGCACCGCCATGTTTCTACAGTAGTCCAATATGGACAAACAAAACACTGGCTCTAGATATGGCAATTCAAGTTTATGAATCAGCCATGGTAGTAAGCAACCTAAAAAAATTTAATGAGTTATTTTTTTTAAAAAAATGTAAAACTGATTTTTTTTCTGTGTTTTTACTGGTTTAAATCACCAGGTCCATTTGCTTTGGAGAGGAAATTTTAATTTGGCTCTCAGTTTAAACCTTCTAAATCACGTCCAGATACGACGTAAAAGGTAGCCTGAGTGTGTTGGTTGTTGATGTTGTGGGAAGTTGTGTCAAGTAATGCCTGTTACATGCATTATATTCTTTCAAAATACACTTCCGTTTTCACAGGAAATTTACCGTTTATAGACAGTCTCTTTCAAAATAAATGCACAACGTCAGGTCTCACTCTGACACACCGACTTTCGCCTGGGAGAGGGGTGTTAGCTTCTTGTATGATTGTAAAGCAAAACCCTGCTCTTTTTTTTATGAACCCAACCACATGCCTTTGTTGCTGAATGAAATAACTGTCAATTCTTAGTGCTGTGCTGATGTTGTGCCTTTATTTTGGAAGAGACTGTATGCAAACTGTACATTTCCTGTGAATACAGAAGTGTGTTTTAAAAACAGACAATACGTATTACAGGCTGAAGTTGACATGGCGTCCCAGAACATCAACAACCAATGCACCCAGGTACCTACATTTGTCCACAATAATCTTATACACCAGAGATCTTACAGTGGGGGCTACCAATGAACAAAAGGCATGGCAAAATCTTCACTTATAGACATGACTATGATGATTTATACCATCAGATGTATACAAGTATATAAATACTTAAACAGTGCTGTAAGAAGAACAACATTTCAGTTTTAACACACAGAGGACCATTCTTTTTTGAGCAATACCATTTCCTTTTTATTCATTAAACTGTCTCCCCTCAACATAATGTCTAAAATTTATTGCCACATTCATTTTCACCGATTCTCAGTTTATGTGACTCCATGAACACTTGATTGCCAGTATCAGCTGCCCTTTGAATGTGTATTCATTTGATCCAACAGCCACTTTCTTGTCTTAAAAAACTCAAGAATACACAGAAATGTTGTTTTATGTTGTTATCTATTATTATTGCATATAGCAGAGGTCAAAAGACAAGCCAGTAACAATACTACAAGTGACCTGGACAGCCAGAAGTTGTGCTGTGTTTATGAATCATATGCATGCCAGGAACTACAACAGCAATACAGTGCTGTAATATATACATATGTTTTTCATAATACATCATACATTATGTAAAAAACTGTATGTATTACATAAATTAATGCAAAGTTAAACACCTGACACTTAATACAGACACTTGGAACTGTGCCAAAATGTATTAATTACCCTGATCTTCACTTCATTCACTGTCTTTATAAAGTGAACAGCAGTCACATGATTCAGTGTTTCCACCTGTTGCAGAGCAGCAAAACATCTCCACAAAAGAAATTCACCATGAAATCTACTGCCCAGCATCAAACAGCTTCTTTCTGCCCTCCATACCAGACATGGCATCCACGTTCTTACGCCAGTCGGTCACTTCCTCTTTCTGTGGGGTGAGAAGATGATGATTTTGAATTAGCTCAGTTAGATTTGAACACACCAGGATGTTTGGAGAATGAAATCCCAGCACTAAACATTGCACCCTCAGATACTGTATAATTGCATTCTTACTTCCACTGCATTTTTGGAACAAATGAAACCCTTCTCAGGTTGTTTTAGTCTACTTTCTAGTTCCTTTAAATGCATTTTAGTGTGTCAGGTTTCACATCATTGTTTCATTTTCTATCTTTAGCTTTATCATCTGTGTTAATATCCTGGATTCAGGCCGCTATGAGGTCAGCAAATTTCAATTTTTTGTCAAAAGTTTGGTACCCAGAGTTACATTATGTTATGCTTTTATCCAAAGTGGCTGACAATAGCCATGAGGGTACAACTCAAATAGCACATGAATCATGCAAGCATGTCAACTTCATCACATATGTTGATCTACATCCTTCCTGTTTTTGTGTGCTGTGTGTGTTATGTACACAGGACTTCCAGGAAATAGCAGATACTGAGTGGACTAACCTCAGTGAATTAAGTGAATTGAATTGAAGTGACACCACATGATGTATTAGTTAAAGCCAATACAAACTATGTTTAAGGCCAGCAGCCCTCACCTTCTCCTCCTCTTTCTTCACAGTCTTGAGGTTAGCCTTGAAGTCGACAGACTCTTTGACCTTAGCGCCCAGCAGAGCTCCCAACATGGCGTCAGCAGACACCCTCACCCTCTTCAGAGCCGGTCTCTTCATCTTGCCCTTCAACTCAAAGATCTTCTGAGACAGGTCCTGTATCTTTTGCCCACACAAAACAACACCAAACCACTCTCAGCATTACCTTAAAATGTTCCAATACCCAATGAATATTCTTTATATACACCCTGAACCCCTGGAATTTGTGTAAAAAAAGATATAAACCAATGGGGTTATTTACAAATATGACTTACCTCCCTGGTATTTTTCATCACTTTCGAATCAATGTCATATCGCTCTTCATCTACCACATCGATTTTCTGGTGAAGCTCCTTGCAAAGAGTCTGAATGGAAACATTTAGTATATTAAACTTGTTTAAGTACCGATTGCCAGAATTTGTTGGAGCATAACTGGTCTGTATGACTTCATGGAAATACTGACACAGTAAGGAACAATGCAAAGAGACAGTGCAGCATGGGCAGTGATTTGTTACTAGAATCAAAATTAAAACATGTCACAAAACCCTTCCTCAGTATACCATGCTTTACCCACCAAAAGTTTCCTGGGTACCACCCTTTTGAAGGCAATATAGTCCAAAATGTTTGAATCAAGCGTAGTGCACTGGAGAAGAATTGGGCAATGTGTTTTGATTTGATAGATTTGCACATTTCATTAAACACATGCAGCATTTGATGACTTTGCTTTGGGTGGTTTCATTGGAAGTAATTTCTGGTGGTCCCTATTAAAACTGTGGACTTTGAGGTCTGTGGATTATTCAGAATAACAAAGACATTGTTCTTGGCAGGAGGCATTGCTGTTGAGGTTTTCAGAGGTAATTTTTCAGTGCTTTCAGAACCACAAACTAAATTACATTCACCTTCATTGTCTTTAGAAGTCTCAGATATCTCAAAACCTCAAAACCAAAAGTAATAGCTTGTGGCTTGATACCACTAGGAGTTGGTGGGGAAAAGTGATTTGCATGAAGTGTTAAGACAGTTATGTGATTGAATGTTGACTTTCTTTTGAGCCAATACCAAAACAAATACTCTTTACGTGCAATGAAATGCTTGAGTGATAAATGTACCTGTAGATCCTGCAAAGACAGGCCTGACATTTGGAGTTCTGGGCATCTCTCAGCGAGGGTTCGCGCTCGTTCGTCTTTTCTGACTTGCTTTTCTTGATCCAGCATGGTCATGGCCTTCTTTAGCAGTTTGGTCTGGTGCACACACATGAACAGAATTACACCTCAGTCAATCAAACAATGTATGGTTTACAGTACTTAAAGTTTGTAAAGATTTGTACAGCATTATCATCCAAGTCTAACACACAGTTACACATAAAATACCTTCAAGAACAGCCTGCGAGATGCCGAGATTTTTGGCTTTGGTTTCTGTAAAAGAAAACAATATATGTGTCAGACTTCTGGTAAAACATGTCAAATATCCAACAGAACATAGTAAATTTGCTAGTGTTCATTTTTCTGTTGTGTATTGCACATTAGTCATGGTATGATTCCAAAAACAAAAATGATGGCACAAGTTGATTAAGGTAAGATAATTTGACTTTATCCTTTATATTTTAACTTTATACTTACCTTCTCTTTGGATTATATTTCTTGCAAGTGTCAAATTGATCAATAATGGGCTGGGCGATAAGGAAAAAATTAAGTATCACGCCATTTTTGACCAAATACCTCGATATCTATATTGTGATGACAGGGTTGACAATGAGATTTTTGATGAATAATCATCAGTAATGCGAATATAATGACTAAGTGGGTAAAAGCAGCCAGAACAGTCTGGTAAATTTAGAAATTACATCACCAGGAAAAGACAACAATTGTGATATTACGTCATCCAAAATCTAGGAAGATATCTAGTCTGGTATCAGAGTATTAATATAATATCAATTTATTTCCCAGTCCTACAATCAATTCCATGTACAATCATGGCACTTATGCATATTTGGTTTGGTGCGAAGAATGAATAATTCTCATAATCTAACACAAATGCCGTTTTTAGTCCCACAACTGACTCAAATTACTGTATATTTAGGACATTTATTCTGTCTCTGACAGGAGAATCAACTCACCGCAGTCCTATCCAGTTTGGGAGGTGATTTTTAAATTTCAAGAAGAGAAAGAGAAAAGATGCAATTTGTTACATTTGACAATTTCTTGTAATAAAATGTGAAGTTAAGGTGCTGTGAAAGTGAATAAGACAGGAGTACTTACCCTTCAGACATGGTTGCAGGTATGTGTGTCTCCCACTGTCTAATCTGTCTAAAAACAAAAGAAAATTATTTTCTTATTTGCTTTTTTTTTTACAGAAGAATACACATCTATCTCAGAACTGAAAAAGCTCAATTCATTACATGCAACTCCTACTATATACCATGGGTTGTCATTCCATAGCACAGGACACAAACAATGTGTGACATTGTCTGAAGGTCAGTGGCATAATGACTTTAAAATACTCTCTAAAAGAAAGCAAAAAGTACTTACAATTACCAGACAGTTATCAGTCGAGACCAAAAAGGGCAGGATTCATTTTATTTTTTTGATATAATTATTTTAACGTTTTATTTAATTATCAAGATATTCTTCATTTCCAAATCATGACAGTTAAATAACACTACAAAATTCTAAGCAATCGGAATGGGTTGCAGAAAAGAAAAAAAAAGACATAAATCAAATCCAGACTTTGACATGTTATTTATAAATCAGCCAGCTGATCTCAAACCTGAACGGAAAAAAAAAACTCTCATCCCAGACCAACATGTAAGAAGTTTCCTTTTTTTGACAATGAGATAATGTAATTTGATTTTCATAAAATGACATTCAGTTGTAAGAAATTATAACTGGTTTTTAACAAAAATGCTGTTTTAAGAGGAGAAATGCAGCTTTCTTTTTTAATACTCATAATTTGCAGCATCAGTTTTCTAACTTTTTAGCAAGAGTAAAGAATACAAAGCCTTCATTTGCTGTTTTATCCCTTCATGTTCTGTAGTATTTCAAAATGAAACTCCTTACCTTATACAGTAGGTGACAAATACTCACAGGCGTCTTTTTCTGAGACGAGAAGGGCAGAAAGAGGGTAGATATATAGATTCCAGCGCTCATGTGAGTGGCTCACTAAAATAGACCCTCTTGTCCTCACCATTCTTGCACTGCGTCTCTAACATCCCACATGTATGAGGTGTGAAATCTTAGTGGGACTGTCCACCTTTGATGCTTTCTTAGCGTTCTCTGTCTCTTCGCTAAGGAAGACGGGGGAAAAGCTTGACGGAACTTTAATTTAATATTATGTGTGTGAAAATAAAGTTGATCCCACATACAGTCACACAGTGAAGGAAAACAACAGCAGGATTGTTATATTTTTATTGAGAGAACATTGGTGGTTTCATGTTTGTCTCAAGTAAACCAAATGTGAAGATAACATACTCCCAGTGCAATAATCCTAACAAAGAGTGCAATCATACTATTTAATTAATAGCATCATAGCTTTAATGGGCTGTTCACTTTGAGTGTCTGATAAGCCAGATGGCAGTTTATCACAGCAGATAACGCACTAGCAGTTGTTAATTTACGAGGGACAGTATAATACAGTAGCTCCAGAAGTGTCTGAGTGATAGTTTGAAAGAGTTATGCTGCCATCACAAGGCTGCAGATGAGAACTACTGCAAACAGTCACTGCATCACAGGCCCTGTTCTGACTGTCAACCCAAATCTGTAATTTGGCATATCCATATGTCAAACATCACATAACATTACTAACATTAAATATCTCTAGAAGGCTGCATTAGGCCCTGATAACACAGTAGGTGTTTTAGCAGCTGGAGGCGCCTTTTTGTAGATGTTTTTAATGAGAATGAAGCTTTTTGCTCGTGTTTTTTGCATTGTGACGTGCTTCATGTTTCAGCGCTTTATGCACCTGGCATTTTTGCCAGAGTGTGCTGAACTCCTTGAGTTGAAAAAAACTTTACCTCAGAGCGGAAATACGCCCCATGTAATCTCTTTTTTGTCATCTTTTTTTCCCATTGTCTAATCAGATGATTTGAGAGACGGGCCTTCTGTGGTAGTCACGACAACAAGTTTACAGTTGATAAACAATAGAGGAGAAACTGGTGGTAGGGGTTGCTGGATGCACAGAGCTATACGGCCCAATGATAGACAGCAGGTTATTAAACTGCCCCGAAGTCATCCTAAAATATGCCTGGAAACGGCCGTCATGGAGGCAAAGCTCCTGGACCAAGTGGTGGTACTCCACCCTCTTTTTTAGGGTCTCATGTACCCTCCACATCCCTGTGCCCAAAAGTTGCGTCCCTGTGCTGACAGTCTCTCTCCCTCAACCAGAGCTACAGCAAGCACCCTCTGCCTCATCATTTTAGAAACTAGCTACTAATAACTGTCAAATAACTAAAATAAATTAAAATGGGAAGGTTAGAATAAGGAGGGGAGTCCATGGTTGCCTGGCAACAATGAAAAGGCGCAGCAAGCGTGTTTTTTTTTTTCACTAGTGGCATTCAATTTTTTAAAAATAAGGCAGTGCAGTGCACCTTGCGTTTTGGAGGGACTTAATTTTGCCCAGAAGCTAATTTTTCCTTTCATACAGTTCCAGCGAAGGCTCTAGTGCGATCCTATCCCTTCCAGAAGCTTTGTAATCCAACTTTGAACTGCAGTGTCTTGTAAGAGACTCAGTAAAATAAATCCATATTGATAAATCCTACACTGAACGTCTTTGGTGATTATTTATCTTTTTTTCCATGTTGAAAACAGTCATTGTTCCTGTTAGGTCACATTTCTCATGCTTCTGCACTGGAAAGCCACATCATCAGCGTAGCTGCATAGTTACTGATGCCATGTTGTTACCACAGCAACCCGTGCAGATAGGTTCGTCCCTTGTGGACTCAAGAGTCCGATCTGATCACTTGCAAATAACAGTGTGGACAGTCTGTCTTAAAGATCGGGTTTGAGGAACAAATTTGATTCGTCTGCAGTCCGAACTTGGCAGTTCATCACAAAATCAGTGTACCTCAAATTTTCTATTTAACAAACCATTAAAGACCACCTGATGCCTACAGTCCCTCTGTAAATAAACTTTTTCATGATTTCAATAAAGCTATAACAAGCAACGCTGTCCTAGTTTTAAGTGTGTTTGTCCAATCTGTAATTTATAAATTAATATGGTAGTTAAGATAGTAAGTAAGGTTAAGAGTTTATTAAGATCTGCTTAACAATAGTAAGTGTTTCTTTAGTTGCCGGAGGCGTCAAACAGCTTCTTCCTGCCCTCCATACCAGACATGGCCTCAACGTTCTTACGCCAGTCAGTCACCTCCTCCTTCTGTAGGAAACATAGAGCCAAGATGAAACAGATCATTTGAACCAAAAATAGCTGTTACCTGAAGGTTTGGGAGACCCTAAGGCAGAAGCCAGGCCTACCTTTTCCTCTTCCTTCTTGACGGTCTTGAGGTTGGCCTTGAAGTCGATGGACTCCTTGTGTTTGGAGCCCAGCAGAACGCTCAGCATAGCCTCAGCTGAGATCTTCACTCTCCTCAGAGCTGGCTTCTTGAACTTACTCTGAATCTCAATGATCTTCAGGTTCATGTTCTCAATCTGGTCAGGGGAGTCAGTCCAGTACACCACATTAACCTCACTGCTTTTTGTTTATTTAATGAACACAATGCAAAAGGAAGGTCCTAAGATTCTTACATGTTTTCCCACCAGTTCACATATGGATTTATGAGCACTCTTAACCTTTTAATTTAATGTAAATAACTTAAGGACCTTCTTTTCCTGGTGCTTTTAATAAAATCTTGCAGTCTTTTTCAGCTTGTGAAATTTACCCAGATGAAGATGTGGTTAAAACCTCATTAAAAAGTTAATAAGTTGACCTTAAGTTAACGTTATTTTGTCAAACTAATCCTAAATTCGTCAGAGTTTGACTTGGATAACCGTATACAGTATATGTCGGTGAAGATTCTCAGTCATCCAGGTCATGGTAATCATAAGATCTATTTCGTAGGCAACTGGACTTACTTGCGTTGAAGTATAGTATACTGTATACCAATTCAAACCAAACTCAAAAGAAAAATGAACATTTGAACATCCATTAGTGTGATAAGAACTACTTAAAATGGCAAAAACCCTCTTTGGTATAAAACTTTTTTGAGATGTACTGACATTTTAGTATGGCCTATACTGCAGCTAGCCACCAGGGGGCAATCAAGATGTTTTGCATCACTTTTTGGTAGCCGTCATGTTGCCCTGCATTTGATATACAGCCAGTTTTGGCCCAGTTTTTTGTTGGTTAAACCCTAATATAGACTGTAACTGTTGGCCTCTGGGCTTTTGTGTTTAATTATACCAGTGTAATAATTGGCTCCAGACAAATTAGAAGTCCATACTTAACGTCTAGGCCAGTTAAATAATGTGACTCTTGTTTTATATTTGAAATGTCATGGATTACAAAAGAGCAGGCTGTGTGCTCACAGGCAAATCTCAAATTTACAGTTTCATCTGAGTTTACTGCTAAAGCTGAAAACACCAATGTAAACAGTGTGTGAGCTGTAACAGGCTTTATGGATAAAATTCTGTTATGTCTTCCTGCAGCCACTGGGAGGCAGTGTTTGTTCACTTTCAGCTCCTCTAAGTTGTGACCCCGTCCTCAAAGACACTGGGATGCCATAGCTTAAAAAACATTTCCACATGCATCACTTCCTGTTCAGTATTCAGCAGCTCACCTCCTTGTCGTTTTTGGACACCTTGAGACCGATATCATACCACTCCTCATCTACAACATCAATTTTGTGGTGCAAATCTCTGCAAAGATCCTGTAAAACATTAAAAGACATCTCCCACTGCTATCTGTACTTAATAATAAACTCAAACAGAGAGTGTATTTGAAGATTTGATTAAAGTTACATACCTGAAGTTCTTGCAAAGACAGACCAGACAGATTCAGAGGAGGAACTCTTTCTGCCAGAGCAGCTTCTTTGTCCTTCTTCTTCTGCTCCGTCTCTTCCAGCAGCATCTGAGCAGCGGTTGCCAACAGTCTAATCTAAGAGGAAAAAAAAATATGATTTTTTTCCCTGTCATTTGATGTAGGTGAACAAAAGTTCAAATTAAAAAGTTAAAATATGATTGTTATTTTTTATATATTTATGCACATAAACTTTATGTACAATTCAGTTAGCAACCCACTTAACAGTAGATTAACAGTAATGTCTCCTGTTAAATTCTTCATAATAGATAGAACTTAAAAAAACCCATCTCAAACAAAGTACTTACCTTCAACCCCAGCCTTCGAGATGAGGAGATCTTTGATTTTCTCTATAATTTACAATAAAAACATTAAATACCTTCCACTTATATATACTTTATATTGTTTAGCACAATACTTTTGCATATATATATATATATATATATATATATTTAAATTATTAGATAAGTAGAAGATTGAAAAAGGGTTTATTGAATATACTTTTGTACTTACAGGTCTGTTGGTGCATTAACAACAGAGAAAAAATACACATCAACATATTTGCATCATAAATATTAATACATACTTATACATTATATTCAAAGCCGTCAATGAACAAATTAAAATAAATCAAAGGCAGTTATACTCACAGCTCAGCCATGATTGACTTAAATTCCCCCACTAGAATAGGAAAAGTAAAAAAAAAATATTGAAAAGTGTCTTTGCAGAAAATGAACTGTAATCTTGTGAAATTCTAACCATCATGCAATTCACCTGTAACACCTGTTCAATTTAGCTGTGCACTGACGACTGATGATCTTTTAAACCTCCCTGATCAAAGTATTTCACCCACTCCACATACCAAATATTAATTGGCCCGTTAAAGCTGCACAACATTATTTGCTGTTCACCCAAAATGTTCCCCCAGTGCAATTCCTTATGTACCAAACAAGTAGTCATAAAAAAATCAAAGTAGTGTTGTACTTCACATTTTGGCTACTTTATTTAGACATGCAATCAAAAAACAATATAAACTTTTTTTACCTCATTCATGTGGAAATCAAATGAAAATTCAGTTGAATTAAAATTGATATTATTACAAATTTTAATGGATATTACAAGTAAATTAAATACAGTAATAGGTTGTGTGCAGACTTTGTCTTTTTGTTTCATACACATTTATTAGTACGAGGTAAATCTTTCCAAATTACTATAATTTTAAAAGCACTTATGTAAAGTTCCAATGTGCTGGGTCAGTGGACGTGTTAACATAACTCACAAGAGTCTCTGCATAGGTGACAGAAAAGGTGAATGGCCAGATAATCCACAGGCATGTAAACTGACAACGTTCAACTTGAGGTTAATATCAGTCGCAACATTATTCAAAAACAACCTTTTAGTTAACTGTTAGTAATTGTATTAAATTAATAGCATGCTGAGAGGTTAATTTTTATTCATGAAGTGTCAGAATTAGCACCTCTACCTCTCTACCTTATTGAAGCTGAACCACTCTTCGAGCCTCCAAACCGATGAAAAGTGTGTGTGAGGGGAGGCAGCAATCGACTTTCTGAGTGAGAAAAAAAATCAGATTTATAGTGTCAGTGTGTGAATGGCTCACTAAAATAGACCCCTGTCCGTCCACCAACAGTGACATTTACTGTTGCACATAGCATCCCGACAATATCACGCAGGAAAGGAGGTAATAAAACTTCATTTATAGGCTTAAACATTTGGGCATCTTGTGTTATTTGGAAAACACCTGTTGGAAGTGACAGTGAGAATTTAAAGAGACATTACCCACTGACCCACGTTAATGCAGGGTCAGTGTCACGCATTCACATTTGACCAGGGGCCATCTTGTTGGAGTTTGAATCAAGTTGTTAAGGAGTCAAACAGAAGGAAGAAATCAACAGTATTTACTTGTTCTCCCCCTTTATTTATAGAACAAATAGCACAGTCCAAGTGTGATCCTTGACCTTTTTAAGATGTCCAGCTTTAGGCATCTAACAGTGTCACCGACCGAGAGTGAAGAGGTTTTAACACCCTTTCACATGTCTGAACTTCTAGTGGCTGCATCAATTCTATGTACAATTTAGTGCAAAACCAGTGTTATGTAGATTTATGACACAAAACTGAGATTAAAACATTGAAATTGAATGAAACAACAGCTTTAAAATGATTTGTTTTACCTCCTTGCATCAATTCAAATCGAGCTATTTCCTTACTTTAACCACATCATTCCAAAAGTATAGAAGCATTATCATGTTCAGTGCACATCCTCTATCAATTGTACTGCAGAGACACCACCACTCCCTTGCATGTGTGTGATGACAGACTATTATAGTCCGATAACATATTACAGGACCACCTTGGAAGAAAGAGCAAAGCCAAAACTTAGTCATGTTGTATTTAGAGGTGCAGAGGAACAAGGACAGGTGCTGGACTTGATGGGACTTGATGGTTTGGAAACTGAGCCAGTCAGAGTTCAGTCTGTGTCATTGTTGTTACAAGGAGTCAGATGGCTCAAAGGGCTGCGACTCGTGCCCTCACCTAAGGATTGGTGGGGGGCGAACAGTTCAACAAGAATAGTAGACTACAAACCTCAGGTCAAGTAATTTTAGATCACGTCTTGCAGTACTTTATTTAAAGGAGTATTCAAGTGACACAGTATTGCATTTCCACACGAACGACAGATTAGCAAAGGAAAAACTTGCGCAGAAGAGGCCGGGATATCCTGTTAGTCTGTCTAATGAGTCAAGCTCCAAGAACACTGGAGCCTACATTTCCCATAATGCAACCCTGCTCAACTGGTCCCTACTGTTAACCTGTGTATATTTTTATGATCTATACTGGTAACTTGATTTTGGTATTAAATTTACACTTTGGATGTGCACCTTAATAATGTTATCTTAGACTTTTATATTCGCTTTCTTTATATTAGCTCTGCTCCTACTTTGTGTGATAACTGCTGCACAGTAATTTCTCTTGGGATAAATAAAGTTTTATCTTACTTGCTATGCTGCATTTACGCAATATGATGATTAGAAGAGGAAAACCACTTTATGACTTTGTTTGTGCTTGATTACCTCCACTGCTGGCCTTGTAATCATATTGAAATCAATAATAATAATGATAATGATAATAATAATGATCATTATTATTATTTTTAGGTGCTTTTCAAAACTCTCAAGGACACCTTACAAGACACAGTTAAAAACAAGCACCTATGTATCCACAGATCATAAAGTCAAACAGATCAGTAATATACAGTAGTAAGTAAATAAAATAACTGGACAAAAATCATGATTATAAAAAGTAGGTCAAATCATCATCATAAAGTCATCAAATTTTAATGTTTATGTCATCATTAGATCGGACTAAATATGCCAGCTTGAAAAAGGTAGTCAAGCAGGCAGATGGTGATGTGAGTTGGATTGCAGAAGAGCATCTAAGAGTACAGGAGGGTGTGTAGATATGAAGGAATTCAGAAAGATACAGTGGCTAGGTTATGAAGGGCCTTAAAGGTGAGAAGCAGACTCTTGAAATCAGTACAATATCTAATGAGAAGTTGCTGAAGACATTTTTTTGTTTACACATCTATAGTTCTTTTCACCAAGTAGGAGAAATTGTCGCTGTCAGAAATTGTCGAAATCTGCGACTCTGAGGCTGACAGAAATATAAAATTTAAAATAAACTCCCTCATCTGTAAAACTTCACATTTCCAATTTGTACCATAGACTCTCTGTCACCAAATCTAAGCCTAGATAACCCTGATGACATCACGCAGACATCTTCAAGGGTCATTTTTTCAAACTTGACAATCACTCAGCATTATGTTACTGTTAAAAAAAGCCAAATGGCTCAAGCTTTGACTAGTGAAATGACTTTTAGGTTGAGATCAGTGTAGTTCTCACCATAATATACTGTGCTTTGTCTTCCATCATTACTGATTTACCACATTAGAAGCAGTGTTGAGAGAGATACTTGTACTTTTGGGTCAAGACTGAAAGGACAGCAGTAAAATACATTTACTAAATGGCATCCTGTTTTAGTATTTTACTCAATAGTCTGCTAATTGTTGTCTGGTTTCATTCCTTACATTGAAAAGTTTCCAGAGAGTCAATGTCTTCAAACTAAGTCTTCTAGATTAGTCCCAGATCTGAAGATATTTAGTTTGTCATCATATTAAGACAAAGACAAACAGCAAATCTGGAAGCAGCATTTTTTTATTATTATTTTGCTTTATGTTTCAATATCATTTTTGTCTTGTAGTGTTGATTGGTGCTGTGACTCAGCCTGTTCCCTTGTTGCTCTTTCTGAGGGCTTTATTGCAGCCCTGAACCTGCGACCTCTCTTATTTTTGGATGTTGACAGTGTTCAGTGTGACTGTTACGTCTGCTTTGATTTACAAAGATGATTCAACAGTTTTGTTCCCAGCTGCTTCTGTTGACAGTCTGGAACTGTCACCACCATCTGGCTGATGTTATGTTTCAGTACAGTGAATTGTAAAGTAGATATTTAAAAAGAAAAGTGCAGCACTGGATCTCTATGTAGATAGAAGTATTTATTGTCATGACATAAACCATCTTCTCCAAGCATTTCAAGATCAAAACACACAGTAAATCTTACTATAAGTTTATCTGTGGTGAAAGTGTAGACAGTTATAAAAGTGCCAACACTACAACAACACGACAACATATGCAAAATATACACAATTTCTTTAATTCTGAATATTTTTATATATTGTAAATGTGAAGTCTATGTACACACTCATGCATACACTCTTGATTTACTGTTGTGAGCTGTGAAAGGAACATACTTTTCTTTAATTGTTGTAAAATGGCATTCATATATAGAATGTCAATAAATATAATGTCTATTGCCCGGCATTGAACAGCTTCTTCCTGCCCTCCATACCAGACATGGCCTCCACGTTCTTACGCCAGTCAGTCACCTCCTCTTTCTGTTTATAAGAAGAAAATAATTCTTAGTGATATTGTACTTTCACACCCCAAAAATAACATGACCAATACCAAAACGTTGTGCTATAATTCAAATTTAATCTGAGTTTAAAACAAGGAGTCAAGCCAGCTTGACATAATCTTGAAAACTTAAAGAACTATATGCTGTTATAGTTGCCGGCCACACTTACCTTCTCCTCCTCTTTCTTCACAGTCTTCAGGTTGGCCTTGAAGTCCACAGACTCTTTGACCTTAGCGCCCAGCAGAGCTCCCAACATAGCGTCAGCTGAGATCTTCACCCTTTTCAGAGCAGGTCGCTTCATCTTGCCCTTCAGCTCAATGATCTTCAGAGACAGATTTTCAATCTGCAGGAAACAATTTAAAATGTGAGTAAAAAGTTTGCAACATGACCACTTGAAGAAGCTAAGAGCTTAAATTCATTGCTAGGAAAGCTGAAAGCTAGACTGTAATGCTGTCAAAGGTGGAAGCTAAGATTTACTAATAGAATAGAATAGAATAGAATACACTATATCTTTGTTGTCCACTAGGGGTGGAACTATATCTTCTGCTTACCAGAAACAAGAAACAACATAATAAAAAGCAGACGAGCAGTCAGTAAAACAAATATATACAGTAGACAAGGTCATTAGAAGTCTTTTTAAGCTCTCTTTCAGCTTAAAGGGCTGAAAAGGGGATGTTTTGTACTTAAAGTATATGACGTGGAAAAAAGCTAATTACAAGCATAAATGTCCTTAACAAGCACAACACTTTGACATTTGAATGGCCTCTGTAGCTGAAAGTATACAAAAGTAGTAGCTGAAAAATGTACGGGTGCAATATAATTGCTTTATGACCTGTTCAAAGCCTCAGTGAAGTCAGTAGATAAAAGCCTGGAGACTAGTGGAATTTCTAAGTGGAGTAGATTGAAGATTTAAAGACTATTGAAAATTTGAAGATGTGAATTTGATCAAATTACCATCTAGAGGCTTTTATTTTGAAAATCAAGCTTTGCCTGGGCCTCTGGTTAAACTAATATATTCATGGGGACTTGTATTTAGAAGGTCCAGCCTTGTCCAGGGGCCCCTGTGAACTCCTCTTACCAACTAGGGACTTTTATTTTGCAAATCCAGCCAACACCAGAGCCTTCATCGTGAGCACCACCTGGTTGATGCATTACCTAAAGAAGCTAAGAACTGAAAAACATTGCTAGAAAAGCTGGAGGCTAAACTGTAATACTGCCAGAGCAGGAAGTGGAGATGAATTGTCTAACATCAAAAACACACCAAGCAGTTGTGGAGTGTGGTTCACAATGAGCTGCCATGCAGTATCTATGGAAAGCTGCAGGGGCCACTCAAAGCTGCTGCTGTTTGATTTTGCGGTGAATTGCCGCCAGAGAATACCGGCAGCCGTTCAGGAAAAGGAGTCCTGTAACTCCTGTGATATGTTGACCTCTTACAAAGTATTTCTTCCTGCCTGAAACATAAACACCCGTCCAATAGTGTGAGTGCTGAATAAGTATTCCCACAATGATGATAAAGCTGAATGTAAAAAAACAGTTTTGTTTACTTGATCAATTAATGGTGAACACATCTATGAGGTAAACACAAAATTAAATCTACATGTAGATTAAA